TCACGCTGCAGTCCCACTGCTTACTCCAGCTCTGCTTACCTTACATTCTTCATTTTGATAAAGACAGTTTCTCAGGAGCTGCATGGCAGTGCTTAAGTCCTTAATAAAACCATCCTCCTGTTCAAAGGAAAAGCAAGTAAAAACCATGAGTGTAATGGCACCAATTGTGGTTTACACATGGTTCTTCCCTCCCCCACCATCATGATTTACACACGCGCTCCCCTCCCAGGGGGTCAGGTGACAGCCCTGCCACCATCACTTTGAGGGGACAGAAAGCAAATGGCCTCTGAGAGATGCCTGGATCGTCAACTGCAGAGGAACTGAGCTACGTAACAGGCTCCATGCTTCACTGCCAGAGGGAGGCAGGTGTGACTGGTTCTCAACATCATCAGGTGTTGCCTGGCTTTCTCAGTGGTGCAGTAAGGACTCGCGGACAGTGAGGAGAAGGGCAGAGAACACAAAGAGAAGCCAACAACGTGACCCTGCCCCAACTGAAACGCTGCATCTGGTGCTCAGTACGATTTCCAAAGAAGTGAGCCTTTCCCGAGGATGTGGTGTATTAGAGCTCTCGGCATCTTCTAAAACGTGAAAAACCTTACAGTACTGTCGGGTGAAAGCCCAGCCACAGAGCTCGGGAAGAGCAGGGCCAGTCGATGGAGAGGGCAAGGCACGAGGCTGGAGTCAGGAACCGCAACGAGAGTTTGCCCTGCCGCTCAGTGCCAGGTGGCACTGGCTTCACACCACACCTGTTGCCCTAATCACTGATATTGTAACAATTACGTTAGGGTGCGAGATCAGAGGAGACAGCATGTAAAGCCAATGTGTAAAAGTCAAGTACTGTAAGCGAGTTATTTATTTCAGAGTTGGAGCGCCTCTTGGGACACGCAACGCACAGCCACTGGCTAATGTCTGGTGCAGCTCCACAGATTAGGTACTGACCACTCTGCTCCGAAGGAGCCTTGGGGCACACTGTTAAGCGCTCGGTGGCTAGCTCACAGTGAACTGGCAGTTCAAACCCACCAGCCACTCTGCAGGAGAGCAATCTGCTTCCACGAGGATGCACGGCCCTGGAAACCCTGTGGGGCTCCCCTCTGTCCTGCAGGGTTGCTGGGAGCTAGAAATCAACTCACTGGCAATGGCTTTGGTTTGGATTTATTCTGCTCCAAGCCTAGTATGTGGCTCTTGGATGGCTGTCCTCATTTTTAAAAAAATAAAGTACAATAACATTAAATATGGCTTTGCATTGGTTTCACTGCCATCAAGTTGGTTCCGACTCACAGTAACCTGTTTGGGTTTCCGAGGCGATATCACTACAGAAGTAGATTGCCCAACCTTCCTTCCGAGGAGTGGCTGTTGGGTTTGAACCACAAGCCTTCTGATTAGCAATCAAATGCCTTAGGCACTATGCCACCAGACCTCCTATCAAATGCTGTAGAAACCAGTTATTTAATGGGTTGCTGTTATGTCTTACCTACACGCATATCACAACATCTCACCTACACACACATGTATGTTATGTCTTGCCTGCGTGAATATGTATGTTACAATGTCTTACCTACCTGTACTTTATGACCTTACCTATATGTACATGTATGTTATCCTGTCTTATCCATATGTACATGTTATGAAGGATTTTCCCATATGCACATGTACTTTATGTCTTACCTATATGTACATGTATGTTTACACATACATACAAACATCCATCTTCTGTGAAGCACATCTATTAACCGCAGTTATTAACCCCAGCCATTATCTAACACTATGCTGTCCCAAGAGTCCCTAGTAGTGTAAACGGTTACTGTAAGTGGGTGCTATCTGAAATCCTGGAGGTCTGAATCCCCCCAGAGGCCCTGGAGAAATGCCTCGTGGTGCACTTATGAAAAGTCAGCTCCTGGGAACCCCCCAGAGTGCACTGCCACTCTGACACCCACAAGGTCTCCAGAGTTGGGCAAACTCATGGCACCTGGAAGGCAGGTGCTGTTCTAAGTTGACACAAACATGCAGTTTGAACATAAGTCTGCAGACTCAGTGCTAAAAGAGATGAGCAGAAGTCATGGAGACGGGCAACAAGAGGTGGGCAGCTCCACTCTGCAACCGCCCAGACATGGGCCAGTACTGAGTCATCAACTGCTAGTCATGTGACAATGCTGCCTTGAGTGTTAGTGAGATAATACACATGAAATGCTTGGAAGAGCGCCTAGAAGGCACAAAGTACGAGGCAAACCCCTGATGAATGGACTGACACTGCAGCCCAACAATGATCTGAGACACACCAGCAATGACGGAGATGGCGCAGGACCAGGAATCATTTGGTTCTGTTATCCGTAAGGTGGCCAGGAGTCGGAGCTGACCCAATGCAATCCGCAGCAAACACACACACACATCTTTCCTAGGGCTTTTCTCTTTATACGGCAGAAATGGTTTCTCATGTATAGTATTATGCACATGTGGATACTGCAACACGTTAATAATAGCCAAATAGACCATAAATCCAGGGAGCCCTGGTGGCACAGTGGTTAAGTGCTCGGCTATGAATGGACAAGTCGGTGGTTAAAACACACCAGCTGCTCCATAGGAGAAGGATGTGGCAGTCTGCTTCCGTAAAGACTTATAACCTTGTAAACTCTATGGGGTAGTTCTACTCTGTTCTGTAGGGTCACTATGACTTGAGTCAACTCAATAGCCACAAGTTTGGCTTGGGTTTTAAAGATGCTATAAATGGAAACCACCAAAAGGAAATGACCAAGTGCTGCTAAGGTAGAAACCTCACTCCTTTATCTGACTGCACCTTTCTTCTAAATCTCACTCGCTGCAAACCAGCGCTGTGTCGCTGAGAAGGCAGCAGGGAGCCGGGCCCTGGGTACCTGCACGCCCCTGCCCCAGGTCCTCAGGATTCAGTTACCTTTTTCCTCAGGGCTGCTTTCCCAGGCCTCAGGGACTCCAGGTTCAGTTGTGCGTTGATGTGCCTCATCTGCTCCATGCAGGTGTCTATGAGATCAGCTGAAAGACAGAAGTCAGTGAGGCACACGGCAGTCCACCTCCAGTTCAAGCAACACACGACAACTAGACTGACACGCGATGCTCTTCACTGACCTCACTTCAGTACTTTCTGTGAAGGATTAACGCGTCAGAGGAAAGAAAACTAGAAGAGAACCAACATGCTACAGCCCACTTGTTCTCCCAACTCTTAGGAGACTCCCAACACCTCATTTATGTTTAGGCACGCGTAACTATTTTAGCAGCGAGTCACAGCTGAAATGAATGGGCTTCATGATGCTGTTACTGACAGTCACCTCTCCGACGTGTTCGCACACACCCATGTCTCTAGGGAAGAATCTGTGTCAAAGGGCAGGAGCACCTCACGCCACTGTCACCATCCAAGCTAGGCTTTTGTCACTTACGCAGTGCTTCTCGTGGATACTCTGTTATTACTGTGGATTGAGAAATGTGTTACTTTCTTAGTTTCTCTAATATTTAGGCAAGGAGCCCTGGTGCTGAAGAACTTGGCTGTTAACTGAAAGGTCAGTGATTTGAACATACCAGCCCCTCTACGGGAAAAAGACGTTATCATCTTGGAAAACTGATGGGGCAGTTCTAATCATCCTATAGGGTTGCAATGATTGAAACGACTTGATGGCAATGGGTACGTATTTATATACATTTAGATGGAGATTCTTTAGAGCAGCAAGCATTACACAACAAAAGATAACCTATAAGGATAATAGTGTTTTAAAATCATGCATGTTTACCGTGCTTTTGCATGGAAATGGCTATTTTTTCCAGTGACAGTGGGATTGTGCTATAAATTCACTTTGAGATGAGAGAAGACTGGAATGAAGCAGCAGAGACAAGTATGAAAGGACAACACACCCTGGGCAGTGCGGTGCCATGCGGCTCACCTTTCAGAGCGTGTCTCTGAGCCCTTCTGCTGACAGGTATGAAAGGACAACATGCCCCGGGCAGTGTGGTGCCATGCGGCTCACCTTTCAGAGCGTGTCTCTGAGCCCTTCTGCTGACAGCCAGGAGTGACATCAAGGCATGGGCAGCGGTTCTTCTCAGGGGATCTTTGGACGACTTTCCCTCATAGCTCTGCAGAGAAGGGAGGACAAACTGCCTTGAAGAGAAATGTAATCTGGGGCAGAACTGCTGGGAGCAAAAGACACACTCGGCTTAAAAGCACTGCCAGGTTTCAACTAGTCACTGCAGTTCGCTGGAACTGGAGAAACCAGGAAGCTCTGAGAATGCTCTGTGGGTAAGACTGTAAGCGGAATTTAGAAAATGGACATTCTAGCCATCATTCTCAAGGGCTCATCATCTTCAATCAATAAATAGAAGCTTTATTCAGTATTAACCCATGGCAAGTGTGTACACTTACTCAAATTCTCAAGCGTGTACATGGGTACAACTTACTACAAAAACCCAAAAGGGCGTGTGTGTACACGTGTGTAACTAATCACAAAAACAAGTGTTGAGCAGGAGAAGAGCCGTGGAATTCCTCCTTTCTTCCTTCTGGGACTCTGTCCTCCCACCATTTGCACACACCACGCCCCATGTCTTGTGTTCTGTGGTCTTTTCCATCTTTCATTTCTACAATAACAGTGACCTGTAATATGACACTTTTTTTTAATGATAAAGGCACTTTTAGTTCTTTTGAACTTTTAAAGAAAGGGAAAAATAACTCTTAATCCTGAAAATACTCATATTTTGGCTGACTTCCTTTATACATTTGAATTTTTTAAATTATAAAACATAGCAAACATTTACAAAAGGAGAGAAAAGAGCATAAGAAAGCCCTATATGCCATCTTTTTAAAAAATTATTTGCACAGGTATTTTAAATACTAGGTATTGTAGAATGCCATACTTCAGAAGAAATAATCACAAAGTCATTAACTAGTATAATTAACAATAATTTCTTGTTATCAACTAACAAATACCCAGTCCAAATTCAAATTTTCCTTTTCATTTCAGAAACTTCTCTCACAATTGGTTTATTGGAATCAGGACCCAATGAATCTTCACTTCCCATTTGCCGATTACAGTTAAACCTAGAATGACGGCACTACCCCCACCCCACCCCACCCCCGGAAGTCTTCTGTTGTCGTTCCTTCACCTAATAGAGCTGTTAAACAAACCAGATCTGTCCTCCGACAGAACGCGCCCACTCTGACTCTGTCTGCTTCCTCATGGGGATCTCCAACCGTCCTCCCTCCTCTGCATTTCTCACTAACCAAGTGTGTTAGTGCTAAAGCCTCGCCTGGATGCAGACTCAAATCCAGACTTCCTGGGATAAGATTCTCATGTAACGTATGCATGGATTTTGATGGCAATGCCAAAGGTTCGTGAATCCCAGACACACTCAATGGGAAGGGCAGGACGTACTTGACTACAAGGGGAGCACGTGGGACCATGAGGGGAGAACGTGGGACACAGGAGGCAGGAGACCCCACGCAGCAGACAGGCAGAGGGATTCCCCAGGAAGAGGCAGGTGGAGAGCCCAGAATGCCACTGTGCACCAGGCAGCTCAGAGGGAGCAGTGTCCTTCCAGAAGGTGACGCTCATGGAAGTTCTGACGCTGCTGAATATACTGAGCGGAGACCCAACTGCTGGTGCGGAGCGTGGAGGTGAGGAGCGATAAACAGAAGACTCAGAAAATTAAAACCCAACACAATCATTACCTCTAAGGAAACAAAGACACGCCTCGTCTGCAGCATGGCTCCGCTGTGCAGAACATTTTCACAGACTGTGCTCTGTAAACGCTGAATATTCTCAGCTGACATTACGATGCATCAGTACTGGGGAATCAAGAAGCTAGACGGGTGGAGGGGAAAGAGAGCTGAAGCTTGCTTCCAGAGCAGGAAGTAAGGAGGCACAGTGTCCAGATGGAATCATCAAGGAAAAGGAATACAGCATCTTATTCAGAGACATGGAAGGAAAAACGTAACATTATCAGACAAAAGCAGCTGCCTCTGGGAAGAAAGAAGTGGAGGAAGGTGGCAGAAGTCACCTAATTTGGGTTAAAGAAAACACAGAGAACCACGTGGAGGGCTAAAATGTGGGCACAGTAAAAAGAATGACAAGAATTAAAAGAAACAAGGAAGAGGAGGCCAGGATGGACCTACAGCAAACGCACAGGTTTTCAGCCTAAGCAGCAGAGGTCAGTGCACATGACTGGCTCACACAGCCCTCGCTGAGGCTGAAGGCATGGTTCCAAGCATCTGTGTGCCCAGGAGGCGTACAGTGCACGGGTGGACGGTGTGCAGAGTGTGTGGGGAAGGCTACAAATCAGAGTCCACGTCCGAACGGCTGAGCAGACAGACAACGAGCTTTTGGCTGACACAAGCCCAAAAGGGAAATGAAATCGAAGGGATACGGAGAGATTTTACATCTTTATCAACCACAGGCAGAAAGGAAGTGAGATGACTCAAAGTCATTTACTCAAGTCTTACACTTTTTATATATGTAATTCCCTCTACACATTAAGTGATCTAGGTATTTTAGGTCAAAATCTACCTGCTTTCTTTCTAAAAGGTATTTAATGTACAGAACAGGCTTTCCAGTACAGTGAACATTTATCAACACAATGAACACACAGTGGTAACTCCAAACTGTAAGCCTCCCCTCCAACAGATTTACTGCTGAATGTTACATTCACTACTTCCTTGCAGTTTTATCCTCAGCAGCTCAATACAAGGAGTAAAACTAATTCTGTATGTCAATTACAGGCACAACACCACAACCTACTACAGATAGAGATCGTTACTAAACTTGTTATCGTCTATGTGTACTTATAACCGAAACACACTAATCATCTTTATAAACTAGCGAGAGCAAAATACCATTAAGTCAAATGTGTTTCATATTTTCATGTCAAAAAACAGTTAAGCCAAATAACAGACTGGTAGTATCAAATAATAGACAATATCAACCTTGAGTAACATACTCCCTCAAACAATCAAGTGCATGAGAGAAATGGTCAATATTTACCCAAAAGCAAAGACGAGAAGCCAAGGAGGGGAAGAGAAGCTAGATCAATGGAAATAGAACCCCAGAATGGAAATAATGAGAATGCCAACACATTGTGAAAATCGTGAGCAATGTCATGGAACAACGTGGGTAAAGTACTGTTAAACGGGAACCTGATTTCCTGTGTAAACGCTCACCTGAAACACAATAAAATACATATTTTAAAAAGACAGTTAATAGTTTCTTAGAGAACATGCAAATCGTGAAACCATCTCAAACAGAAACGATAAAGAAATGAACTTACACATGCTTTAAGCGGTAAGTACTAACCACACGCTGTTAACACGTTCCTTGCAGGACAGTACTGCAGAGTGGTCATTTAAAGACAGTCTGCCAAGGGGTTTGCAGTGAAGTTCCAAGATAAGAACTTATAAGGAAGATGGAGAACTTTAGAGCAAGCTGAGATTTAGCAGAAATGTAACACAAACTCTCACCCTGTATTTGCAGAACTGAGTCACAAGTGGTTACGTGATTTGCCTATACTCACTCCCCCCCATTTTTTGTTAAGCACAGCTTTCTAGACAGTTTCGATATAACTTAGAGGACATCAGCTTGAGAACACCATTTCTTCTGATAATTTAAAGATTGCTTCCTAGACCTACAGGACACATGCACACATGGGAACATACATGTTATTTAGAATACTACTGCTGTTTAATGTATTCAAATAATACTTTAATTCACACATCATGCTGCTATAAGACAGCAATGAAAAGCCAGAGTTCGTATCTCAATAAGCATGCTGCTGACTTTCGTCTCACATCAGACACACGTTTCCTCAGAAATACATGCCAGGTACAGTTCCTTTCCTTCCTTTGTCTTCCAACTCACCTGCCCTTCTAACAAACACCAAGTATCCATATTCTGCTGTTTCTACAATCAAGGATGAGAAGGACACGACTTACTAGGAAGCCCAGTTAATGTGTCCATAACCACACAGGATACTTTGTCTTCCAACTCACTGCCCTTCTAACAAACACCAAGTATCATATTCTACAATCAAGGATGAGAAGGACAGGACCTACTAAGAAGCCCAGTTAATGTGTCCGTAATCACACAGGATACTTTGTAGCATCTGTAATTGGGAGGAAAAGGAGGGAAAACTAAGGAGTCATTAGAACCCACTGAGGTACCCTGTGGCTCTAGGATACATCATCTTCATTGGCCAAGAAGGCAACACCGAAAAGATGATCATCAACACTAATTTTTCTAATGAACATAAGCACAAAGTATTAGGGGAAAACGACGGTGAGGTAAATCTGGCGGACTCTTCTGGCAGCTCTTCTCAAGCGCAGTACTGTAACAGGGTTCGTAATGCCCATTCAGAGTCACATTTATTCCCCATCTACTTACGGTTCCTTGAAGCACAGAACCACTGACAAGGGGAGAAAAGAATCCCAGGAAAACAACAGTCCCAGCTTGAGCTACGTCCTTAGGTTCCACAGGATTGGTGTGGGGACCGTTGAGAGCCTTCCCCTTTTTCACTGACCCTCCTTCAGGAGTCTGGTCTGGGAACTATTTTCCTCATCCCTAAGATGTCTGAAACTTTGGCCTGGGCAAGGGAAGGGAGAAGCCAGGCACACCGCCCTCACAGCACCGTTCTCTAAGGGAAACTGAGGCAGGGCTCAAGGTGCCATCACATCCTCTCAATAGCAAAGGCCCTGCCCCTGGAGCAAAGGCTCAGGAGAAGCGAGAGAGAGGAACGAGTAATGGCGTGGTGGAGAGGTGGGAGTGCGTGACATGAGGGTATTGGTGACGGAGCTCTCACCACTCGCCACACTGCGAGGACGGCCTGCTGCTCTCAGCGCTGGAAGGAGCAGGGAGCTACGGGAAGCCTACGGCTTACTGAAAAAAGTGACTCCCTAGAGGAATGCTTTGAGGAGCTTTTTTCCCTAGAGACTCAGCAACCTGCAAGCGCTGCTGGAGAAGGATGAGGAACCCTAGGGGCTGACTATGAGAAAGCACCTCTGCTCCAGGGAGAAGGCAGACTTCGGTCTGGGGCTGCTCAGTGCTGCCCAGAAAGGTGTGTGCAGGCCCGTTCCTCTGTGCACAGGCCGGACTCCTCCTCACCTCCTCACAGCCTCAGCCGCATTCCACACAAACGAGGCCGGTGCTCAAAACACACAAGCAGTCAGAGCACAGTGTCCGCAGGACCGTGACTTCCGGCTGCAGAGAGGCAGCAAAATCTCCAAATTCAAAGGAGGGAAGGGAACTGGAACAATCGGCTGACAGGAGCAGCCCTTCTGTCCTCGTGACAATGCGGTCGGCTGACTCAGGAGCAGGAAAGCTCTGGACTTCACATGGTACGTCCTTCTCCTCTGGCAGTGAAAACGCACCAATCATAAACCACACGACTATCAACAAACAGGATTCTTCAGGCTGAAACTCTAGTAACATTCCCATAGGTAAAAAACGATTCCTGAACTTTGATGTAGGAAACATCTCCATGTTTGTTCACGGTTAATCTGCTTATAAAATAACAGTACTTCAGGGACTCTAGAATCCTTCGTAATGAACAAAATCGTTGGTTCACATCTCATGATTGTGAAAAGTGCACCAGGGCTTGGAGAGGGGGCATTTTCCCACCAATCTGTAAACAAGTCCATCCATTCCACACATAGCAAGCACCCACAAAAACATGTGGTCCAGCGCCACCAGTCAAATCTCCCTTGGTAACCACAAGTTCAGAGATGCACACACACCTTTACAAGGGCAGTACACTTGAACCACGTCTGCATCCCTGAAACGCAGCCACATCAGTCATGACGCAGCACTATTCTAACCAGCTGCTGGATTCAGACAATGACCACTGCGCTGGGAATGCTTACATAACATTCATTAAAGAAACTGATCAACCTCAGAGGGGTGGGGCCAGAGTAGCCATGATTAATTTAACTTTACATACTTTTGTCTCATTTGAAAAGTTAAGACGAGCATTGATTACTTCTGTAATTCAAATGACTGAAAACAATTTTACAAAACTGAGACAGAAAATCAGTTCACTTAAACATTAAATAAACAAAGGAAAGTTTGAAAAATTAAGAAATCATATACCTGAAGAATCACTTCACTAAGTCGCTCTGGCAATTTCTGATTTTCCTCTATTTTATCAAGAAGTAAAGCCACTGTTGGACTGTGGCATGTGTTTGTGTTTTCCTTATCCTGGAGACGTTTCTTTGTGTCTTCAGTCAAGAGAATACACAGGAATTGCAGGCTGGCCGTATACAGGGTCGGGCACGTGGCAGACAAACCTACACATCTGCAGAACATACCTAAAAGAGAGAGTAACTTCAGATTATTCTGTGTGAAAACTTCCTCACTACTAAACAAAGAAGAAATGAACTGGAGTAATTAGTAATATGTAGTTGTTGCTGTTAGGTGTTGTCGAGTTGGCGCCGACTCACAATGACCCTGTGTACAACAGAACAAAACACTGCCCAGTCCTGGGCCAGCCTCACGATCCTTCTGATTGCAGAGCCCATCATGACAGCCAATATACCAATCCACCTCGCTGAGGGCCTTCCCCTTTCTCACTGACCCTCCACTTTACCGAGCATGATATCCTCCTCCAGGGAAGGGTCCCTTCTGACAACAGGACCAAAGTAGGTGAGGCAAAGTCTGGGCAGTCTCACTTTCAAGGAGCATTCCGGCTGCACTCCTTCCAGGACAGATATTAGTCCTGGCAGTCCAGGGTACTTTTGGCATTCGTCACCAACACCACAACTCAAAAGCATCGATTCTTCTTCGGTCTTCCTTATTCACTGTCCAGCTTTCACATCCATATCAGGCAACTGAAAACACCATGGCTTGGGTTAGGCACACCTTAGTCTTCAAAGAGGCATCTTTGCTCTTCAGCACTTTAAGGAGTTCATTTGTAGGAGATTTGCCCAGTTGCGGTGTAGTAAATTACTTAGTGTGGCTTTTCTACCCATAAGTCTTTGTAAACTCCAAGGTGGGATTTTCTATGAGCAACTGAGGAGCTCCTGATTGCTGAAGGTGTCCACCTGGAGTATTTCTGTTGGGAGTGGCACAAAACAGTGTTCTGGGAGCTGCCCACTCTCTCTCAGGTGCTTAGAGTTCTGATGCTATGATTGGCTAGTTTGGCCACTCTGCCGGGCTCAAAAGGAGGTCTCCTAGAAGCAGAACTCTCTCTCTGACTGCCGGTTGAGGAAGACGTGCTGTTAAAGAGACACACACTCCTGAAAAGAGACATGCGCTGCTGGGAAAGAGACGCAAGAGATGCGCATTGCTGAGTGAGACACCGAGGGACATGCACTGCTGGGGGAGAGACTGTGATAGACTGTTGGCTGAGGGATGGTGGTCTGGGAGAGAGACTGAGCGTTCTTCCGGAACTTGAGTTGTAGCCTGGTGCTTCCCTAATAAACCCCCGTAATCCATAAGTTGTGTGTTGCCACTGCAGCGAATTATCGAACCCAGGAGAGAGGTGGTGGGTGCTTTGGGAGGAACGGTTGGAGAAAAGACTGGAGGGAGGCAGCATGTCTGGCCTCTCAGGAATAGGCCTTGGGCTATTGATAGTAATTCTGTCTTCCTCTTGTGGGATTAGAGGAGATCAGAGCATGTGGCCTCCTTGCCGTTTTTGCAGCAGTGCAATACATTGTCTGATTTCTTGACAGCTACTTCCACTGGCCTTCATTGTGGAACCAAGTAATATGAAATCTTTGACAACTTCAATCTTTTCTCCATTTATTGTGATGCTGTTTATTGGTGCAGTTGTGAGGATTTTTGTTTTTTTATATTGAGGTATAATCCATACTGCAAAGTGTTATTGTTGTTGTTATGTGCCGTCGAGTTGTCTCTGACTCATAGTGACCCCTCCTTGGGTTTCTGAGGAAGCATCACTACAGAAGCAGATTGCCCAGACTTCCTTTTGAGGAGTGGCTGGTGGGTTTGAACCACCAACCTTCTGATTAGCAGTCAAGTGCCTTAGGCACTATGCAACCAGAGCTCCCACTGCAAAGTGTAGTGTTTAATATTCATCAGTAAGTGTTTCAAGTCATCTTCACCTTCAGCAAGAAAAGTTTTGTCATCTGCATATCACAGGTTGTTAATGAGTCATCCTCCCATCCTGAGGCCACACTCTTCCTCAGACAGTCCAGCTTCATGGATTATTTGCTCAGCATACAGACTGAGTAAGTATGATAAAAGCATACAAGCTTGATGGATACAACTCCCTTCCTGATTTTAAACCATGCACTATCCCCTTATTCTGTTCAAATGACAGCCTCCTGGTCTACGTATAGGTTCCTCACGACTACAATTAAGTGTTCTGGTATTCCGAATCTTCTCAATGTTACCCATAATTTGTTATGATCCACACAATCAAGTGCTTCTGCATAGTCAATAAAACACAAGTAAACATCTTTCTAGGAGCTCTGGTAGCATAGTGCCTAAGGCACTTGACCACTAACCAGAAGGCTAGTGGTTCAAACCCACCAGGCACTCCTCGGAAGGAAGGTTGGGCAATCTACTTCCATAGTGATACTGCCTCAGAAACCCAAGGAGGGGTCGCTATGAATCGGGGCTGACTCGACGGCACATAACAACAATAATAAACATCTTTCTGGTATTCCTTGCTTTCAGCTAAGATCCCTCTGACATCAGCAATGATAACCCTCGTTCCACTTTCTCTTCTGAATTCAGCTTGCATTTCTGGAAGTTCGCTGACAATATACTGCTGCAACCATCTTTAAATTATCTTCATAAGATTTTACTTGCATGTGATATTAATGATACTGTTTGATAATTTCCACATTCTGTGGGATCACCTTTCTTTGGAATGGTTACAAATATGGATCTCTTCCAGTCAGTTGGCCAGATAGCTGTCTTCCAAATCTCTTGGCATAGATGAGTGAGTGCCTCCAGCACGGCATTTATTTGCTGAAACATCTCAGTGGCTATTCCATCAATTCCTGGAGCCTTGTTCTTCACCAATTCCTTCAGTACTTGACTTCTTTCAATGCCATTGGTTCTTGATCATATGACACTTGCTGAAATGGATGAACATCAATCAATTCTTTTTGGTACAGTGCCTCTGTGTATTCCATCCATCTTCTTTTGATGTTTCCTGCATCATTCAATATTTTGCCCATAGA